TTTGTTAAGGCATCATCAGCAATGATTTCAAAGACGGAGACGGACTTGGGCTGCCTGTGATATATCCAACGCCCGTCTCTGTTCATGGGACTATCTGCCCGCCATATTCGCTCTCTCCTCAAAACGACTGCTCCTCGCAAAGACTCTTCCTCATCTTTGCATCCAACATCTGTCTGTCTGTCTGCATTGCCCTCCGACATCGACATCGACGTCACCGCCACTCACCAGCCACACTCGCCTCGTGGCTCCCCCCCCTCCTCTCGCCATGTCCGACTCCCACTTTGACATTCCGCGCGACGTCGAGTCTGGCTATGCCAGCGGCTGCAGCAGCGAGGCCAGCCTGCCCGACATCTTCTTCAGCAAAACCCACCTGAAGTTCATCAACGCCCAACTGCAAAAACTCGACCCCGAAGGTGCGTCCCCGCGTCGTCGTCGTCGTCGTCGTGTTCCGTGGCCTCTTCAGCGCGCGCGCGCTAACGCCCCACAGATATCTTGAGATGGTGCCTCATCACCCTGCCCTCGCTGTTCCAAACCACCGCCTTCGGTCTCTCGGGCCTCGTCACGCTTGACATTCTGTCGAAACTGCCCAACCCCACAAAGACGCCCGTCGACCTCATTTTCCTCGACACCCTGCACCACTTTCCGGAAACCCTCGCTCTCGTCGACCGCATCAGGTCCCGCTACCCCAACTTCAACCTGCACGTCTACAAGCCCGCCGGATGCGACAACGACCAGGACTTTGCCAAGAAGCACGGCGACCGCCTGTGGGAGACCAACGACGACCTGTACGACTTTGTCGCCAAGGTCGAGCCCGCCCAGCGCGCCTACGCCGAACTGCAGGTCAAGGCGGTGCTGACGGGCCGCCGCCGCAGCCAAGGCGGCAAGCGCGGCGATCTCGACATCATCGAGATTGCCGACGACGGCCTCGTCAAGGTCAACCCGCTGGCCAACTGGTCCTTTGCCGACGTCAAGGACTACATTGAGAAGCACAACGTCCCCTACAACGACCTGCTCGACCGCGGCTACAAGAGCGTCGGCGACTGGCACTCGACCCAGCCTGTTGCCGACGGCGAGAACGAGCGCGCCGGCCGCTGGAAGGGCCGCGAGAAGTCGGAGTGCGGCATCCACAACAAAAAGTCCCGCTACGCCCAGTTCCTCGCCGAGCAGGAGAGGAAGAGGCAAGAGGAGGCCTTGAGCAGGGCGCTCGAGTCGGCACACGTCGGCCCCTCGGCATAGCAATAGTGGTGTCTTTTTTTTTTTCCCCCTTCTTTTCTTCCCTTTTTTTTTCAGCATTGAAGCACGGCGTTGAAAGGGAAACTTTGGAGCATCCGACGGTCATCACGTCCATGAGGGTCTTATGAGAAAAACAGGCGTTTCATCAGCTTGATTGAGATTTTGACGGACTATATACATTTGCTTTTTAGTAGACAAGCGGGGGAACGGGAACGCTGGTTCTCGGAGAAACGCTTTTTTTTTGGATGACGTTTGCGTGGACTGCATGCATGATTTGAATCCGCGGGTGACAGATTCACCGGCGAGAGATTGGGTAGGGGGGCATGAGCATCAATTGCAAAGATAGGAATCAAATCATTTAGATAGAACACGTGTGATTGCCATCAGCGGCCGTGGTTGCTTTGCTGGAAGCGCCCCATCTCCTGAACGGCAGTGCCCAGGCCGGCAGCCTTTGATTTGTGCTGTGCTGCCTCAAGGCCCCAAGCCGGTAGAACAATCGTAGTGGGTCCGCTCCTCCAAAAGCACTGGTTGACGGGTGGAATTTGGGTGAGAGGGCGGAGACGAAGAGGGAAACAAAGGGACTACTACTCTCCTGTTCATCACACCAACCCACGTCGGTTTCAAGCCAAGTGGCTTGCGTGGGGCGTACGTATGCTCGCCGTTCGCATGGGCCAGACGAAGCGAATTGGGAGCTGAGAAACTGAGACGAGGAGGGTGGGCAACGCGTCGACGGTTCCAAGAATGTCGCCAGGCGTGGCTTTGGCCAAGGTCGACGGGCACGGCGGAGACGATTGTCATTACTCGACCACATCCCTGCCCCGCGGCGCTGCGACGTTTGCTTCCTTCACCCATCCCAATCCTGAGTGAGCGGACTGCGGAACCCGCCCACCCAGAGAGTGCCCACTGCCCACCTCACCCATATATAGTCCCGCCGACGGCCCCTCCGTCTCTGACGCTGTCTGCTGCTCCCCATTCCCATTCCCATTCCCTCGCCCCCTTTCCAATTCTTTATTCCAAATCATGGCCAACCCTCCCCACGGTACGTGTATTCTTCTCCCCGTCTCGGCTCCCCCCCCCAAACTGATTATTTTCCAGGCGGTGTCCTCAAGGACCTCATTGCCCGCGATGCTCCCCGCCGACAGGAGCTGGCCGACGAGGCCGAGAACTTGCCCGCCATTACGCTGTCTGAGAGGCAGCTCTGTGACTTGGAGCTGATTCTCAACGGTGGCTTCTCGCCGCTCGAGGGTTCGTCAAACTATCTTTTTTTTTTTTTCCTGATTTTTTTTCCTCCCCGCCCCGCGACGGCGCAATTCTCTGCGTCTCCGCGGCACCGTCGACAACCTCCGATGACGCACCGAGAGAGCTCCACCGCTGACAGCATGGCGGCCGCGTACAGGTTTCATGAACCAAAAGGACTACGACAGGTGAGTTTGCTCGAATTGGAACTGGACGGATTGGAGCTAATTTTGGGGTGCCAGTGTTGTTGCAAACTCGCGTCTTACCGATGGCAACCTCTTCTCCATGCCCATCACCCTCGACGTCTCGCAGGAGACGATTGACGAGGCCGGCGTGAAGCCTGGTGCTCGCATCGTCCTCCGCGACCTCCGTGACGACCGCAACCTCGCCATCATCACCGTCGACGACATTTACAGGCCGGACAAGTAGGAAACCACAATTTGATCTGTGAGAGAGGAAGCAGAGATTGACAGGGACACCAGGCAAAAGGAGGCCCGCGAGGTCTTTGACAAGGACGGCGACGAGGCCCACCCGGCCATCAAGTACCTCTACCACACGGTCAAGGAGTTTTACGTCGGCGGCAAGCTCGAGGCCATTGACCGCCTCATGCACTACGACTACGTCGCGCTGCGCTACACGCCGGCGGAGCTGCGTCTGCACTTTGACAAGCTCGGCTGGTCCCGAGTGGTCGCCTTCCAGACGCGCAACCCCATGCACCGCGCCCACCGCGAGCTGACGGTGCGCGCCGCCCGCCAGCGCCAGGCCAACGTGCTGATCCACCCGGTCGTCGGCCTGACCAAGCCCGGCGACATTGACCACTTTACGCGCGTGCGCGTCTACCAGGCGCTGCTGCCGCGCTACCCCAACGGCATGGCGGTGCTGGGTCTTTTGGGTTTGGCAATGCGCATGGCGGGTCCCCGCGAGGCCGTCTGGCACGCCATCATCCGCAAGAACCACGGCGCGACGCACTTCATCGTCGGCCGCGACCACGCCGGGCCCGGCAAGAACAGCAAGGGAGTCGACTTTTACGGGCCGTACGACGCGCAGGAGGCCGTCACAAAGTACAAGGACGAGCTCGGCATCGAGATGGTGCCGTTCCAGCAGATGACGTACCTGCCCGACTCGGACGAGTACAAGCCCAAGGACGAGGTCGACGCGGGCATCAAGACCCTGGACATCAGTGGAACCGGTATGGCGCGCTCGTCGATCCCCCAGATTTCACACAAAGAACATGACTGATGGCGTGCTTGTCTTGTAGAACTCCGCAAGCGCCTGCGCACCGGCGCCGCCATCCCCGAATGGTTCTCGTACCCCGAGGTCGTCCGCGTGCTGCGCGAATCGCACCCGCCGCGCTCCAAGCAAGGCTTTACCGTCTTCCTGACGGGCTACCAAAACAGCGGCAAAGACGCCATCGCGCGCGCGCTCAACGTGACGCTCAACCAGCAAGGCGGCCGCAGCGTGTCGCTGCTCCTCGGCGAGACCGTCCGCGCCGGCCTGTCCTCCGAGCTCGGCTTCACGCGCGCCGACCGCAACACCAACATCTCGCGCATCGCGTTCGTCGCCTCGGAGCTCACCAAGGCCGGCGCCGCCGTCATCGCGGCGCCCATTGCCCCCTTCGAGGACGGCCGCGCCCACGCCCGCGAGCTCGTCGAGAAGTACGGCTCCTTCTACCTCGTGCACGTGGCCACGCCGCTCGAGTACTGCGAGCAGACGGACAAGAAGGGCGTCTACGCCAAGGCGCGCCGCGGCGAGATCAAGGGCTTCACTGGCGTCGACGACTCGTATGACGCCCCGGCCAAGCCGGACCTCGTCGTTGATTTCAGCAAGACCAATGTGCGGACGATTGTGCATCAGATTGTGCTGTTGCTGGAGGGTGAGGGGCTTTTGGAGCAGTTGTAGAGTGTTGGGGGGGGGGGGGGGGTGGTGATGGGTTTTGACTGACGGTGATGCGGTGTTTGGATTGAGGTTCTAGAAAACGGTACCTGTCCTATGCCAATGCCACGTGGATTCAGAATCTACCTACGTAGCTAGCAAGTGAGCGAGAGAGAGGCTGGGAGAAATGTAACAACATGAACAACTACAACGTCAACATTTCCTTTTCCCGTTGTCCCCTCTACTACTTCCCCTTCCCCCTCCTCTCTTCTCACCTTACACTCCTCTCTCTCCCCCATAACCCACACCATTCTATCCCGTCCGTCCGTCTATACTACTAAGTAAGTACACTATCGACATATAGTCCGCCCCCTTTTCTTCCTCCTTCTCCTCCTCCTGGTAGAAAGTGCCTCGTTACTTTTACTCTCCACTCTTGCCCTTGCCCTTGCCCTTCCTCACCTTCTACCCTTCCCTACCTTACTCTGCTATTGGTAACTAGTAGAATGAACAAAACAATCCCTCTACCCCGCCCCGCCCCGCCCCTCACACTATCTCAAAAGAGCGTGAAGGGAGGAGGCAAAAGACAGAAGAGAAGGAGGGAAGGGAGCAGAGCGTCAAAAGAGAAAGAAAGAGAGAAGGGAGGCAAAAGACAAACACAAGGGTCTTACCGCGACTCGAACGCGGGGCCTCTCGCATGCTTTCCTGTCGGATAGCAACTCAGAGTGCACCCTAAGCGAGAATCATACCACTAGACCATAAGACCTTGATACTAAACTAGTTTGCTTGAATATAATATAATCATAGCGGACGGGGAAGGGGGAGGATCAGCTACCCCTGATTACGCGACCTGACTTGGTGGAAGATACGAGGAAACAAGAGGCGGGGGGGGGGGGGGGGGGGGGGGAAGGTACGAGAGCGGAAGAGAAAACATGGCTGAGAATTCTAGAGGGTGCTGCCGTAGCTTAGCTTAGCTTAGCTTCGCTTCGTTGGCCCAGCGAGGTCAGCTTGAACACCACGCTGCTAAAGCCATCTGTCACGTTGTAGATGACGAAGGGGACTGCGCAGGGGGCGGTCGATGAGGGGGTGTTCCATCCGCCGAGTTAAATTTGTTACGTCAGGGCAGACTGCGGAGTGCGCAGAGGAATGGATGCGTTGATGGATCCGCAGCGTTCGTGCGTTGGTTGATTAACTACAGGTAGTAGCTAGCTGAATAAGTCGAACAAGAGAAGAGAATAATGAGAAGAGAAGCGGATATATAAGTAAGGTAAAGTAAAAGTGAAAGGGCTATGTGTGGTAGCGTAGCAAATGGGTAGCGCTGGAGGCTAGTTGGTTGGTTGGTTGGTTGGTTGGTTGGTATATCGAGAGAGAGAGAGAGCGAGATGTGTTGTTGACATGGCGGACAGACGGGAACTCTGAGCTGAAAACACATGCCACGGAGCGACAGACAGACACACAAGCCTCATCCTCATCCCCATCCCCTCAACACCCTCACGCCGTCCCACCACCAGCACCACCCCCCGTATTCCCGACGCTCTTCCCCTGCGCATCCTTAACCATCCACCCCGTCAAATCAATCGTCCAGCCATTGCCAAGACTAACGGCCGTCGCACTCATCGCCGCCTGGCCCCCAGCAACATACTCGACAAAATACGTCTGCAGATTCTCCTGCGCCATGACGGCGTGATCGAGGCGGCCGCCGCTGGCCTGGAACACGTACAGCACGCCCGTCTTGCAGAAGGCGAGGCGCTTGGGGCTGACGCCGGAGGTTGCGCTGGTGGTGGATGTGGAAGTGGAGGTGGGGGAGGACGTGAGCGTGGAGGTCGCGCTGTACATGGAGCTGCCGCCGTTCGCGTCGTAGACGATGCCGAGGTTGGTTTTGGCGGCGTCGTTGGAGTATTGGCGGCGTTGGAGTTGCGCGTGCGATGTTACGAGCGGCGGGCGCGCAGGGGAGTCGTGGGCGGGCGATGCAGGTACAGGACCGGGCGCGGGCCGGGCCCGCGGCGGGTCCTCGTCCTCGTCCTCGTGGTTGTGACGATGACGGCCGCCAAAATCGAGATGCAGGCCAATCTGCGGCAGCCAGTCGAGCGAGCGTTTAGCCTTGGACAGGCCGGAAAACTTGACGAGCGCATTCTCAGCCGAGCACGACATGTTGGCCCTGCTGAACAGCGCCAGCAGCTGCGTGCCGTTGAGCGGGATCTGGAAGCTGGCCTGGGAGTTGTTGATGAGCTCGGTGACGGCCGAGCCGATGGTCGCGTTGGTCGCGCCGCCCATGTTTGTCGTCGAGCAGCCCGAGTCCGGCGCCTGCGTGCAGCTCGCCCCCGTGTAGCCGTTGGCGCAGATGCAGGCGCAAGAGCCCGTCGGGTCGAGCATGCTCATGCCGCCGTTGGAGCACGGGAGGGTGCTCTCGCAGTCGCTGACCGACTTTTGTTGCGCTGAGTTGGACGAGTCGTTGTTTTTGGGGAGCACGATGAGCGCAATTGGGACGACAACGGCGGCCGCGACGAGGAGCAGGAGCACAATCATCAGAATGACAAACCCCCACAACGGCATGCCGCAGCATCGTCGGCCACGCTTCTTGGGAGGCCCTTGATCACTGCCATAGTCCTGCTCGTGGGCAAGGCCCGTCGGCCAACGGGTGCCATAGGGCGAGCGTGGCGGAGAGCGTGGTGACGACGTGGCGGGACGAGGAAAGGACGTGAGCATGTCTGCCAGGGAGGCTCCGTCCGACTTGCGCACCGCAGCAGCCATGGCGGCGCGCTTCTCGTCCGCATTCGGCCCACCCAGCTCCCACAGGTCGAATCCCAGCCGGCTGGCGGTTTTGCCGCGGTCGAGATTTGATGCCAACTTCGTTGCGCGGCGGATCAAGTCGGGTAGACTGGTCAAGCTTCCACGCGACTCGGCTTCCTGAACCGCGTCCACATTGAGCTTGGGCGGACGTCTGACTCCTACGCGGTCTGAAAGCTTCGAGGGCGCCCTCGTTTCTTTGCCAAAACCCGACAGGGCGCCTCCTTTTTCCAACCCTCCCAGGATTTCGTCCACTCGCGGGTCTATGGGCGAGTCGAAGTCGTCGTCCAGCATTTCCTTGGACAAGGGAGACTTGCTTCCGCTGTTGGAATTGCTCGAACTTGTTGAGGGCGAAGGGGGCGTCAACCCAGTACCGCCGCGCAGCTCACCACCCGACGGCTTTTTCGACACGGCCAAACCGACGGGCATGGCTGCTGCGGCAGGCATGGCCACTGCGGCTTGTCCGTTTTGATCCCTTTCCCGCAGCTTGTCCATGCTGTCCATGCTCTTGATGGTCGTCAACGATGGCTTCCCGCGCTTTCCCATGCTTGCTTGCCGCACCAGTCCAGACTGATCGCCATTGTCACTCGGGCGTGACCGGCCGTCGTCGCTGTCGCCGCGCTCGGTGGGACTGCCGAGGTCGTCTTCGTCGTCCGTACCATCCTCATCGAAATAAAAATCGCCAGCGTTGGCGGGTATTACATTACTGGAAGCTAAGGAATTGTGAGATCTATGAGATTCGGCCTCTTCGACAATGGGCGAGACGTAGGACGTCTGCGAATAGTAAGAGGACGGTCCTCTTCGCGCCGAGGGCGGAAGACCTAATGCTGGAGGTTTTCGAGCGTTCCCGGGGGTGTTGGGGACGGGAAAGTCGGGTATGGATCCAAGAGAAGAAGCGGAGTTGACCGAATTGCCCGTCATTCGGTTCGGGTCGCGCGTGGCAAAATAAGGAGAAAGCAGTTCGCCGTCTGACGATAAGGGACCTTGGCCGGGTGGAGCGAGACGTTCGGTGGAAGACTGCTTAGTGGGATCGAGAATGGAAGGGACGTAGCGCGGCCTCGGGGGTCTTTGTGGCGGAGGGCCTCTTGCGCGGGGCGCGGCAGCGGGATCGTAACCTTCTGGCAGAGGCCAGTTGGTATTACGCGAGGTCCCCGACTGAGACGACATGTTGGGTGGTGGTGGTGGACGAGACTGTGGAGGCTCGCCCTGCTCGGCTTTCAGTCGAGCAGCTCTTACACAACCACCTCTGTTTCCAGAGGAAGCGCCATAGGGTGCGCCGGGACCCCGGGCCGGGTAGCTCATTGGCGCGGGGAATTTGGGTGTTATGGCATGCGGGAGGGCTGGCGAAACGGTGCGAGTTTGTAAAATGGCTAGGCGGGGAGAAGAGGGAGACTGTGGGTGGTCAGAGAGGGAGAGCAGACAAAATGCACAAGCATTGGGCTTGAAGCAACAAAACATGGGCCATGACGACAGAAGAAAAAAACGGGAGGATTTGTTCCGACCAGTGTTTGAAGCGTGCGACGGGAGACGTGTCGGAGCAACTGTCATGGCGTGTGTACCTACTGATTTTAAATTGTGCGAGACACAGCAGAAGCCGGAGCGGAGGGAGAATGAGAGTCGAGAGTCGAGAGGTGAAGTGGAGTGGATTGGGCGAGATGAAGTGGCGCCGGGCGGGATCCAGACTAGCGGATTAAAGAAGATAAAAGGTGGTGGAAGAGTGAGTTAACGACAGACGAGAAAGGACGTCAAGTCCGAGAAGAGAGGGAGAGAGACGGGAAGAAAAGAGAGCGGAGAGGAGAAGAAGCGGGGAGCTGGTGGAAGAGTCGGGCGGAGAAGAGATGGATGGATGGATGGATGGATGGTGACAAGACAAGACAAGACCAGCCAGGAGAAGCCGAGAAGCCAACAAGCCAACAAGCCAACAAGCCAACAAGCCAACGGACTAGCGCTGGTACCGCTGTAGTCATCAACCATGGTCCATGGGAGGGAGGGGTGAGCCACAGGCCACAGGCCACAGGCCACAGCACGCGGGAGACAGCGGAGGTTGGGTAGGGATCGGTCATGGTGCGACAGAGGACCCTGGCCGGCCAGATTATGTAAGAAGAAAACACAGGAAAACGACCATGACACGACACGACACGACACGACACGACTCGACTCGACTCGACACGGCCAAACACCACGGCCACCACGGCCACCACGGCCACCACGGCCACCACGACTGTCTGCACTCGAGCGACACAGCACCGTTTCCAACCACCAGCACAACGCCCAGCCAACACAAACATCGCTCTCGCGTCGCCTCACCCGACTCGGTCATGCCTCCCGCGCCCGGCCCCCGCTCGACATGGGATCGCGGCCTCACTTATATTGCTCCTCTCCCCACAACTTAACCGACGTCGTCCTCATCTTCGCCCTCGTGTCGGATCGCACCGGCCAGCTCACCTTATTTCAGGACGAGTCCTCTGCACCACCTGGACACACGCACGCTGCTCCACGCTCCCTCATGCACCAGCTCCCCCGCCCTTGCGCAAACCAAACCAAACCAAACCAAACCAAACCATCCCTCCTTGCTCAACCGATTCCCATCCATGTTCGCTGTGATTGCCATGGCACTCCAGCTCCCGTAGAGCCGCATCCTGCCATGGCCGGGCTCCCCCGTCGCGACTGCTCTCTGCCCGACACTACGCACTGCTTCAGCCAAGACAAGACCAGACCCAGAGCCCTCTTGCCTCATGCGCCCATCACCATCAGGTTGGAGAAAACATGTCGACCGTCTGCATGTGCCCAATCACCACCTCACCACCACCACCACCACCACCACCACCACCACCACCACCCCCCGACTGCTGCCCGTGGCATCGCATGTGACACGTGAGTTGTCGTCCTGTCGCACTGAACTCTTTCTTCTCGTCACTAACACTTGCAGAATGCCAAACCGTCAGATGCTGACCACGTCGTCTTGGCCTCGGCTGACAT